TTTTTAAATAAAAATTATCCAAACAATACTTACTTCCAAAAGAATTAATAATTGTTTGTATTTTATACAATTTATTTCTTTAATTTTTCTTGTAATGATTTAATTTTTTTTTTTATTTTCAGGAATTTTATCCATTTCTTGATGAAAATTTTAATCGTATAGGTGGCGTATCATTTAATGACGGCATGTTTCAAAGTATTCATTTATTTGCGCATGGAATTGATCCACTTATTCGTGGTTTGATAAGTTTACCAGCAAAGATGCCACAAAGGTTACATTGGAAATAAATTGTGCAAAATTACAAAATTTGCCTAAAAAACTATTAAAACATATTAATATAAAAATTTCATATACTCTTAAATAATATAATAACTAATGGTATTTTAAATGAGAAAATAAATAAGTTTAAATCAATGCTAATAATATCGTTGAGTTTTTTTTAACCACTATTAATTAATTTGTTGCTTTAAAATATGAATTAAAGTAATAGAAATTGTATAGGCTTACTCCAGCAGTAACTGAACGAATATTTGGTAATTCTGATCTTGGTTCTATTAATATTCAACGTGGACGTGATCACGGAATACCTGGCTATACTGTTTGGCAGAAATTTTGTAAAATGCCAAGAGTGCGAACATTCGACGATCTTAATAGTACAATTAAAAATCCAATTTTACACTCAAATCTAAAAATTTTATACAAACATGTTGGTAAGAATTACTAAAAATACTCATAGAAATTTTAAAAAAAAAATAATATTCTGAACAATGTTTATTGTTTTTTCACAAATGTGTAACTCCGTGAATAACTTTTTAATCATAAACGTGAAACACGTAAGTAATGCTCCTTGAATCGAACTTCATTTCATATAAAAAATTCAAAACCATTTAATTATCTCTTATGCAATGTGCCATTTACAATATTTAACTGTAAATAAAACTGAAAAATTAGATAAAATGTTATTGCAAAATTAATAAAAGATATTTGAAATTTTGTTTAAAATATTTTTTATTTAAATAAATTTATGATTTTTTTCAGAAAATATTGATTTATATGTTGGTGGCTTATTGGAAGATCCACTAGAAGGTGCATTTGTTGGACCAACTTTGGCCTGTATTATCTCGGAGCAATTCAAAAGGTTACGAGACGGTGATAGGTAAGAAAATGAATTTTAAAATTTCATTTCTTCATTAGTTTTATAACAAATTTAAAATTTCGTTAATTAAAATAAAACATATATAATGTCTGTTTTTTTTTTCATTTTTTGACTATTCTAATTTATCAATCATTAATCAATTACTAAATAATTCAATCTCTTTTTTACAGATTCTATTATGAAAATTCCGAAATTTTGACACTACCTCAAATTGAGGAAATCAAAAAACTCACTCTTGCAAGAATAATCTGTGATTCTGGTGAAAATATTCGACAAATGCCATTTGAAGCATTTAATCAAAGTGAAGCATCCGACTTGATATCATGCGATAGGATACCGTCCCCAAATTGGAATCTTTGGAAAGATGATTGAGAATAATAATTATATCATCAATTTCAAATACCATGTTTTTCAAAATACTCACCCTCTCTTGCTCTCTCTCTCTCTCTCTCTCTCTCTTTCTCCCTTTCACTGCTTATTTTTTCTTATTTACTAAAAAAATAAATGCACCTGTCATCTAAGGTATGAAATCATTAAATTTAATTATTCAATTAACATTGTGAAAAATTGTCATTACAAATTAGCTAATATCAAATTTTCGATGTAATGAGAGAGTGCATGATATCATTCGTTTACAAACATAATTTCTTCTAATTTTCGAAATTTTTATTTTAATTCAAAATCAAAAGATGTGACTTTTTTCCTTCAAAAATTAAGCACTGTTTACTGCAATTTCAAAAATTGATTTTTGAATGCTTTTGTGTATATCCATTAAATAAATGTAATCAAAGTTGTAAGTGATTATCGTCTTATTAACGACATTTGATTCAATTAAGCGAATTATTTCAGTATGTTAAGTGCATTTAAATTAACTAAATTTCTAGAAAACTTAAAAATATTGAATTTGCGTTTTAAATATTTCACATCATTAATCAAAGTAAAAACTGTTCATCTTGTAAATTAACCTTTGGATATTGAGCAAAATTTTTTTAGCGTCAGCAAACTCTTGTTTTTAGTCGATCAAATTATATATTTTTTAATTTTAAGTTGAAATCATATTAGCGATGTGATTAAGTTTATAGATAACATATTTATTTTTGGCCTGATTTTCAATTTCAATTTTATTTTAACCTAGTTATTTTAATATATCCACATATCGGATCCATATTAAAAGAATCGGTTTATTGTTATTCTTTTTACGGTATTTTTTTACATTTAGAAAAGAATACTTACAGTTTATATTTATCTTAAATGAAATGATCATGTGCTTCGGTTTTATCAGAAATTATTATCACTATTCATTAGATCGCAAAAACAAAATAATCATTCATTTGAATTCATTATTTTCCATAAAAACATTTAGTTGCATTATTCAGATACATTTTCAAAAATGTCATTTGCATTTTTCAAATAAAAATAAGCAATTGTAGCATTTATGTGCTATTTGCTACATTTTATTATGTGATTTAGTATTAAATCAAAAGTTTTACAAAGTCGAAGTATTTATTTTTACAGTACTTTGAATAAAACAGCTATTGGGCATATATCCAAACTGCAGCATAATAGCAACGTATGTTAGCACCAGTGAAATAAGCTAAAAGTAAATCTAATTAAAAACAAAATTACAACGAAATGAAATTTTATTTAATTTTAAAAAATTTATACGAAAATGAAAGAAATCTATTGGAAAAAATCAATAATTCAAAAAATTATTCTAAATGCCGTAAATTCGGGAAATTGCTTGTAAACTTTTTCTTGAGTATTAGCATATTTACAGAATTAATTGCATAGTATTAGAAAGTAAATTATTTTGAAAGAGTTTACTGTAAATAGTTTTGGTACTCAATGTATTAGTTGAAAAAGATTAATAGTTTGGTAAATTAGTCATTGAAGGTTACTGATAGAGTTAAAAATCTCAATAAAGTAATACCGTCAGGAATAATTGTCGCGTGACGACAAAAAATCCACCTGCAGTGAAGCTTATTTCAGCTACTTGTAGTTTATGTGCAAACAACAAAAGCAAACACTGAAAAATTTAATGATTTTATATGTAATCAAACAACATCATTTCTAATTAATATTTGAAATGAAAAAATAGTATAATTTAATATATTTTGAGAATAAAATTTTAAGTCGAAAAATTTTAACAAGATAACCAAAGAATTACTCAAAATAAATTTTTGTTTGCATACTATCAACTTTTAAATAGAAATAATTTTATACTTTTCTATTTAATAGTAGTAATCAAACTTTGAAAAAAAATTAAGTAACAGTGAAAATAATTAATTATTTACGTCAAGAAATTGATCACGATTTCCATTTGACTGATTTTGAAACATAGTAGTGGCAATCGCAGCAATTGTCTGATTCTAAATATACATGGTAATAACGAACAAAAAAGAAAATCATGAATTAAAATAAGTTATATTTTATTACAGTGCCACAAAAATTAACTTCTTATATTGATTTAATCCTAATATGACAAAAATAAAAAAGATCATGGTAACGCTTCTAAAATCTAAAAGAATGATATTTTATGATTATCCAAAATTATCAATTTCATACACTTTGCATCAAAAAATTACATATTTAAATCTTTTCATTTATAATACGATATGTGAATATACGATAGCCATGAAATACGGTATATTTAAACAATTACTCTCTCATAGAGACGGTATGCAGGTACGGTGAAAAAAGCCATATGAAACAAAGAGCTGGTAGCGTACAGTACACATAGTATCGTATCAATCCATGTCTTACTTTCACTTTTATCTTGTAAATAAGTGTACAGTATGAAGCATAATTCAGTAAAACATAATGCATCGACATATGCTATCGCATATTTGAATTGTTCCTCAATTATATCAGCGGTTTTTTTTAAATGCTAAAATTATTCAAGCTGATTACATCTTTAAACAATGTTTTAAAAATATTTGTATAAATTTTGTAATATATTTGAAAGATTGAAAAATTAATCGATAGTCATTATTTATTATATGAATCATTTGAAATAAAGTATTTTTAATTTTAAAAATTTAAAGAAGGGAATAATTATAGGCATTTACCCGATAACGATGTTTATATTTTATTACACGACTAACTGCTTCGCTAATAGTCCACCTGAATTTATAACAATAAAATAAGAAATTAATTAATCCCTGAAATTCTACGAAATATTGCAAATCGATCTGATAATATTTTAATTAGTCTAAAGATTTCCCTATAACCTAGCATTTTATGCTTTTGGAAAAGCATTAACGCATCACAATTTAAATTTTTAAACTGAAGAAGAATGAACCAGTTGAAAAGTTGAAATGAAATAATTCATCAAATTACTCACTCAATTATGCCATCGTGATGTATATTATCAATGAATGCATCAACGCAAACTGCAAGAATATAACACGGAAATGCAAAAAACACGGACCAACTCATTAACGCTGATTGCGTCAAAAATGTTACGTAATGATGAATGATAATTAGCGCAACACTCCAAATATCATTATTTTCATTTTCAATAATTTTTTTATGAATTGCTGCAACAGTACTTATTAGTGATAGGAGAAAAAGGCCTCCAAATTTCAGGTAATTAATTAATAGTTAAGTTTGCTAATTTTTTTTAGACGTATTTAAATTGAAATATTTTTGTTTTACATTAATATATAATGTCTTCATAAGTTGCAATATTTTTTAAAAATATCTTTTGAGTTTCGTTTTTATTTTAAACATTACCAGCTGTAGTAATGACGGCTATGAGAGCCCAAAAAATATTTAGGCCAACCATTATTTTACACATTCGATGAAGTCGTAAAGCATGTTGAAAATCTGGATCATATAAAGCTATCTGTTGTACAACAATTTTAATCAATCGATTGAAACTTTTTCGCATCCAAAAGAGAAATAATGAACAAATCCCACCACTGAAAATTATCTTTTGGATTTTAGATCTTTTAAATTCTTTTAAATTTAAAACAAAGGAAAAAAAAACATATGCAAAATTAAGTTTGGCATATCATTTTAGACAATAAATAATTAAAAATGCCAAGTTATTTACTGATTTTAAAATAACAAATGTTATTTTGACAATTTCATCAGCACTATATGTATTAAAAAAAGAGTAAATAACAAGTCCATTAAAACTTATCTTGCAAGATAACAGGCATGAACGATTGCAAATGCAAAATTAACATTAAGTCCAGTAAATTTTATCTCTGTTATAATAAAAGCTGAATAACTATTCTGTAAGAAAATATGATTTTTTTTTTTTAAAATTTAGTCCATTTAAATGAATTCAATTAATAAATATATTTAAAATAAGCGTTTATCATTCTAAAAAATAACAATTTATACCATAATTTAACAAAAATAACCATGATTATCATGATTACGGTATTGTATATTATCAGTGGATATCGCCATGTAGGATTTTCCGTATAGGAAGTTAATCCAAGAATACGCATATATATGAAAAGTGGTGTAAGAATCATTTCATATTGTTGATTCAATATTGCTTGTATTTTATGATAACTGCGTTGTGAGCACACTAAAATTTTATCTTTTAAATTCCAATTTCAATAATTTATAATAAAAACAAAAATTTTCACAAAATAAAAAAAAATTAAATAATTTCTACAAACAAGAAAATTGGTTGAATTAATTAATATTTAAAAAAAAAGAAATAAATTTTTCAATTTAACACAAAACTTTGATTATGAGCTATGGAAATTAAAAATATTATGATGAGAAGCTTTATCAGATAATAAAATTTGGTTAACCTAAAGAACACGTATTCCATTTAACTTTATCTAATTTCAAATTACTTATTAACTTGATAGTATTATTAAATTGTTCGATTACTGTATTTTCATTTTTTGAATATTTCACATAAAATTTAAGGAATTCCGTCAATTATGAGCAAAATTTTTGCATATTCTTCTATAAAACGCACCATACACTTCATCTGATTTACTTCTACTTACTTGATTTATTTTAAGTTAAATTTGACAACAAACAAAAAGATTTATTACTTACCAGAATAGTTGGAAGAAAAAAAGGAAACTCTGGAAAAAGTAGAAATCATGGAATTCTTTCGGGAAGTGTTTTTATCGGATGGTGCTAGTGATGTTGATCTTTTTGGCAACCTAAAATTTTCAATTTTTGTCACGATCCACTCCAGAAATGATATTTTACCTTTATTTAAATTTTTTTCATTTTTAATGCTAAATGATATGGTATCAAAAGTATATCCCAAAATCTTTTAATACTTTAGTGATTAAGCAAATTTAAATGTTTAGCATAAAAAAATCTGGTGCGAAATAGAATTTAATTTACTTTTCGTCTCGCGAAAGCATTTTATCCTATCCGACCGGAATATTTTTATGATAACGGAACGAGAACTTCGGTTGAACGCAGAAAACAAAGATGAAATTATGATAGCGTAGAAAAAAAAATAAACAAATTTTAATCTGTTTTATTTGCATATTTGCGTGTTTTCTGAGAATTTATCTTGGATAACAATAATTTACAGGAAAACATTTTAAGTAATATTTCTCCATTTCTTATCAATTCACTTTCTCTTGATGTCGCAATTTATTACGGCCTTCAAAATACATCTATTTTTATTTTAATATGCTTACAACTTTTTTTTGCTTGGCAGAGAGATTAGTATGAGGGAGAAGGAGCCAGGAGTAATTATTGGATCTTTCTTTTATTTTTATGAAAAATTATTTTTAGACTTTAATTTTCATTTTTAAACAAGTATCTTATATTTGGCCTGAAACTCAGACATACAAATTTGGGCTCTCTAAATATTTAACATGTATGTTTTAAAGTATGGTTGAGTAATAAGTAATGAATTCTGCATTGATAATGTTTCGGAAAAAGTTGAATTCGTTTCTTTTTTTATATTTCCATTTTTATAGCAAATTTCTGCTTATAATTTTTTGAATTTTTCATTGGTTTCATTTATTCCTTTTTAAATACTAAATTTAATTATTCTTTTTTTTGCAATTTACTTTACTCTTTACACAAAAAACAATCCTTAAATTCCAAAGGAAGTTAGTCGTCCATTCAGTTTTAATTTTAATTGCATGCATATGCGCTATAGAATTATGTCTTTCGTTTTTAATGATATTTAAATTGAAAAACTAATTTAGGAGATGTAAGTAAAGATAATATATTCAAAAATTTTAATGAAGCTATTTAAGCTTTCCAAGTGATAATTAATCATGCAATTTGATGATTAAATTAGCCTAAAATTATTCAACCACCTATTGATTGAACAACAATAATAGAGTACCAAACATTTTTGCAACTGTATAAACATCATAATTACATTCGGACTGGTGGTTTCTCATTGTGACTTTTTAGGCACTGTCGAACCAAAAAAATATTACAGGCTTTTCAAGGATCATCATAGCTGCTAAACATAAAAAGATTTCTTTCATTTTAGAAATTCGAAATCAAAGAAACCATTCAAAATTAGAGCCACAATTTAAAAATACAATCATCATAACATTGATCTTATCACGTAGAACTTTCCCTAACTTGCCTCACTTCACTTTCTTGACCCGCTTCCCAGTTGTTGTCAGAATTTCTTGCTTCAGGTTTAGGAATATGAAAACCGATAAAAAATTGATAGGAATATACACCAATCACAGCACCCACAATTGGTGCCAGCAATGGAACGATGAAAAAGTATTGATGGAAGCTGAAAGGATGAGTTATCAGAAAAAGATGCAAAAATATTGGGAGAAGAAATTAAAATTTAAGGGAAATTAACACACTAACGTAAAAAGTCGGATGCCATAACCACTTAAAGAGGCAAAAATTCGTGAGCCAAAATCGCTAGCCGGATTAACCGGAGAGCCCATATTCAAGCCACAACACATCGAAATGGTTGTTGCGATTGTACCAAAGAGGACTGGCATCAAATTTCTCGGTATTTCATTCTTAGGTTCGCAGCAAAATGCAACGAAAATGCCAATCAGACTAGTGCCAGCCATCTAAAACTGTAAATGGAACGTGGAGGCCACAAATAAAAGTTATTGTATCCGATCAATATTGCTACTGTTCATTATTGCTTGGAGTGTTACTGAAATCTGCTTGCCAAAAAGACAAACCTGATCAATAAAGGCACCAATATTGGAAAGGTAAGCCTGCGGGAATGATGCGAAAATTATTCCGGTCGCATTTGGCCCACTTATTGCTCGAATTCCTCCATCAAAGGCATTTATTGCTTCTGAAAATTGTGCGAATCATAAGGAAGAGTCCTGTCTATTTACCTTTCAGAGAATTGGCTTACCGCTATAAACAAAGTACATTATCCCCGCACCAAATGCTGCGCCGAGAGTTTGTGCAACGAAAAAGAGAAGACTGTGAGCAAAAGATATCTTTCCGAGGATCAATAATGCAGCCGTAACTGCCGGATTCACATGTCCACCTGGAAATTAGTCCAATTATATATATAATTTAGTGTACTCTATTAGCAGATCCCGTATCGCTGTAAAGCCCTAAATTTTCCGGCCAACCATGGCATTCTGAGGAGTCTGACAAGCTTTTCACGAAGCAACGTTTAACAGCACTGCAGACGATAAGTTATTAAATTAGACTGTCCACAAGATAGTTAGTGGAAGGACAATTGGAGATGAGGAAAAGATAAAACAGCCAAGGTCCGTAACTTTCCAAACACACGGTTGGCAGAATTTCAGTTTTCGTTTCAGCATTTTTCATATGCTTTCATGACCTGTTTCCCACATTCACTCGGGAATCAATCTCTGTAAGTTACCCGAGGTTTCCCATGCGACATAAACTGACAGTGTGATCGCTAATCCCCAGCCGATATTAATTTGTATCGGAGAATTCGATGTCCCTCGACTGAGTACGAATTGAGCCATCACTCCGGTACCGATGAACTGAATTCTTTACAAAATTCATTTCCTATTCCTTGCTCCTACTAATTTATATAATTAATCGGATGAAGTATATGCAACTTTCGAGAATGAACAGAAATGAACTGTAATCATTGAAATATAAACACAAACAGACATTACAAGTGCTAAGACTGTGATTTTTCTGTCGTTGGATTAAAGCTTTAAGAATGTTAAAAAAGTTCAAATATCAATGAAATTGAAATAGTGAACTGAAATACTCACTCTCAGAAGAGCGGTACCAAAAAATTCAGAAAGCAAATTACGAGCCAACTCGTTTTCCACACGTCCATATTTTTTGAAACGTTCCAAATGGTGCATTCTACCTGAAATGGTCAAATATGAAATTATTCATTCATGTTGTAATCGTAAATAAATGCTAAATTCTAAACAATTTCACAAATTTTTAGATAGTACCATCTCTCACTGTTTTGCACAATTACTTGGCCGGAAGACAAACAACACGCCAAATACGTGGGCCAGATGGATATATTTCAGATGCTAGATTGACGTATTTGATCTTTCTGACATTTTAGCGATCAGTGCCATCAAATGTTATTCAATAAAATTTGATGCGAAGGTCAGATTAAAATCATCAACTTGATGATGATAATTACGAAATCAAAAAATTTCGAAAAATAAAATTTTTTGAGGGCGTAATTGAAAATGTATTGGAAAAAGAAAGGAATAAATTACAGTCTTTGGTAACGATTTGCACTAATTTAACTGTAAGCGTATTGTTTAAAAATAATAAATGTTTGAGAAAAAGAAGTCGTCTAAAGAAT